AAAACCAGCTCCTAGTTTTGTTGATCTGTTCTACTATTTTTTGTTGTTGTTGTTGTTTTTTATCATTGACATCTGGTCTAATCTTTATTATTTCTCTTCTGCTAGGTTTAGGATTTATTTGCTGTTCTTTTTCCAGCTTTTTTTGGGTGTGAGGCTAGTTTGTGTATTTGAGATTTTTCTTGTTTCTTGAGAAAGGCTTGTATTGCTATATCCTTCTCTTGTAGGGACGCCTTTGCTGCCTCCCAAAGGCTTTGAACTGTCGTGTTTCATTTGCTCCCATATATTTTTAAATTCTTCTTTAATTTCTTGGTTGACCCATTCTTTCTTTAGTAGGATGTTCTTTAGCCTCCATATATTTGTGGTCCTTGCAAATTTTTTCTTGTGATTGATTTCAAGTTTCATAACATTGTGGTCTGAAAATATGTGTGGTATGATCTCAGTCTTTTGTATTGGTTGAGTCCTGATTTGTGACCCAGTAAGTGGTCTATTCTGCAGACTGTTCTATGTGCACTTGAGGAGGATATGTATTCTGGTGCTTTGGGATGAAATGTTCTGAATATACCTGCTAATAAGTCCATCAGGTCCAGTGTGTCATATGTAATAAGGAAATTTCCTTAATCAGATAAGGAAAGCACTTATTTCTTTGTTGATCTGATGCTTAGATGGTTTGTCCATTGCTGTGAGTAGTGTTAAAGTCCTCTACTATTATTTTATTATCAGTGAATTTCTCTAATTTTGTTATTAATTGATTTATGTACTTGGTTGCTTCTAAATTAGGGGCATACATATTTGCAATTATTGGATTTTTTTTTAAGATTTTGTTTATCCATTCACAAGAGACACAGAAGGAGAAAGAGAGAGGCAGAGACACAGGCAGAGGGAGAAGCAGGCTCCATGCAAGGAGCCCGATATGGGACTCGATCCCAGGACCGCAGGATCACGCCCTGGACCAAAGGCAGATGCTAAACTGCTGAGCCACTCAGGGATCCCCAGCAATTATTGGATCTAATTGGATAGACCTTTTATTATGACATTAGTTTCCTCCATCTCTTATTACAGTCTTTGTTTTAAAATGTAGTTTATCTAATATAAGGGTGGCTACTTTAGCTTTCTTCTAATGTTCATTGGAATGATAAATGGTTCTCCACCCCCTCACTTTCAATCTGGAGCTGTCTTTGGGTCTAAAATGGGTCTCGTAAGCAGCATATCGATGGGTCTTGTTTTTTTTTTTTTTTTTAAATCCATTTTGATACCCTATATCTTTTGATTGGAGCATTTAGTCCATTTACATTCAAAGTAATTATTGAAAGGTAAGAATTTAGTGCCATTGTATTAAATGTTATGTCACTATTTCTGTAGAGTGTATCTGTTCCTTTCTGGTCTTTGTTACTTTTGGCCTCTCTTTCCACTCAAAGGGTCTTTAATATTTCTTGCAGGGCTGGTATAGTGTAGACAAGTTCCTTTAGTTTTTGTTTGTCTTAGAAACTCTTTATCTTTCCTTCTATTCTGAATGAAGACTTGCTGGATAAAGTAGTCTTGGCTGCATATTTTTCCCATTCAGCTTGTTGAATATCATGCCAGTATATGGTCTGGTCTCCTAGGTCTCTGTGAATAGGTCTGCTGCCAGCCTTGTGTTTCTACCCTTTTAGGTTTAGGACCTCTTGTCCTGAGCTGCTTTCAGGATTTTCTCTTCATATCTTTGTAATTTGCAAGTTTCACTAATATGTGGAGGTAGGTGACCTATTTTTGTTGATTTTGAGGGGAATTCTTTGTGCCTCTTGAGTTGAATGCCTCTTTCCTTACTCAGATTAGGGATGTTCTCAGCTGTAATTTGCTCAAGTAAACTTTCTACCCTCTTCTCCCATTCTTCAGGACCCCTATAAATACAGATATTATTTTGCTTTTTGGAATCGCTGAGTTCCCTACATCTGCCTTCGTGATCTAATAGTTTTCTTTCCCTCTTCTTTTCAGCTTCATTATGTTCCATAATTTTATTTTCTGTATCCTGGCTTTGTTCATCCTCATTTTTATGGCCTCCACTTGGAACTGCATCTTGGCTATAGCATTTTTAATTTTGGACTGACTAGATTTTACTTCTTTTATCTGTATAGTAAGGGATTTTCTAGTGTCTTCTATGCTTTTTTCAAGCCCAGCTAGTATCTTTGTAATAGTTGCTTTAGATTTTTTTTTTAAAGATTTTATTTATTTATTCATGAAAGACACGGATTGAGAGAGAGAGAGGCAGAGACACAGGCAGAGGGAGAAGCAGGCTCCATGCAGGGAGACAATGTGGGACTCGATCCCGGGACTCCAGGATCAGGCCCTGGGCTGAAGGCAGTGCTAAACTGCTGAGCCACCCAGGCTACCCTGTTTTAGATTTTAGTTCAGATATCTTAGTTATATTCATTTTGATTAAATATCTGGCTGTGACTACTACTTCCTATTCTTTTTTTGGGGGTGAATTTCTCTGTCTTGTCATCATCTGTCCAGAAAAGAAAAAAAGAAAAGGAAAAAAGACAAAAACTTCAGAAAGTGTTTCTGGTGTATGCTCTGTGTACTCTGCTGTTGTGTTTTCACTGCCCTTTCCCATCAGTCTGTTCTCTTTGGAGTTCATTCTTTATAGTGGGGAGTGTTTGGATCTCTGACTTGGTGTGCTTTGGTCTGTTTATTGATTTGAAAAGAAAATTAAAAAAAAAATAGCCTGATCCAAGACTAGAAAAGGAACAAAAATGGAAACAGACAAAAACTATAACCCTGTTTCCAAAGAATAAGAAGGAAAGAAGGGGAAAAAAGTAAGGAAAGAAGAAAAGAGACAAAAAATAAGACTGATCTAAAAAAATAAGGGAAGGAAATGAACAAACCAACAAATGAACAAAGATTGTAAGCCTCATACCAAAACAAAAAAAAAAAGAGAGAAAAGAAAAAGAAAAAAAAAAGAAATAGAAAAATAAAAAAAATTTTAAAAATTAAGAGGGGAAATAAAAGAAGCAAGCCTGATCTTATTTCCACCAGAAGCTGATGTTTGGGAGCACTTTTTAATCAGTAGACTTGGTCCATGAGGGTAGGGGGGGCGGGTTGTGTTGCTCTTCTGAGGGGAGCCTGCTGCGCTGCCTCACTAGCTGACTTGCCTTTTTAAAAATTCCCCTGCCAAGTGCAGGGGGATGGGATTTAGTATTGAGGGCTCCAGCCTCCTGGGGGGTGCGGTTTCTCTCTGAAGTCTGACTAAGCTGGTGGGGGGGGTGGGTAGATGGAGGAGGAACAATATGGTGTCACCCCACCCTCTTGTTCCTGGGGAAGGGAACTCCTGGCCATCCCTACTCAGGAGGCCTCTCAGGAAAGCAAATATTCTCCTGTGTCCCAGGCTTTGTCAGTTCCCTGATCTTGATCTGTCTGTTCATGGGCTGTAGGTGGCCCTGGCACCACAGATCTCCCGTATTTTTTTCTCTGGCTGGTGGTTGATATTCAAAACCCCATGTTTCAAAGGGCCTGACAAGGTGCAGACCCAGTCCCCTACCCTGGAGTAGAACCTTGTGGCACACCCAGCGCTGTCCTAACCCAGAAAAGCAGTCGCACAGTTCATGCATAGACGCTAGAGTTTATCGTGATGCACAGTGAAAAGCTGCAACCAGGTTACTTGCCATCTGTGTGCGAATTAGCCCCCTACTCTGTTCTGCCCCAGAAAAGCAGTCACACAGAGGATGAATCTATTATGGCAACAGCGAAAAGCAGCAGCCAGGTTATCTGCAGTTTGCTCATGTCTCTGCTTTCTGCTGCTCAGTCCTGTCCCAGAAAAGCAGGCACTTGGCATGCACTTGGTGGTTTAAGTCTATTGTGGCTCATAGGGAAAGGCTACTACAAGGTTATCTGCCCTCTGAGCATACCTCTGAGCACATGCTCTGTCCCTGTTGTGGAGCTCTGCTCAGTGGCTCCCAGCTGGCCTTTTGTCCTTGGAGAGGCAAAATACGCTCTTCCAAATGTACTCAGGGAAGGGGAGCAATCTTTCTCATTGCAACCCAGGGGATCTCTTCAGTGTTGTGTGTGGTTTTTTTTTTAAGATTTTATTTATTCATTCATGAGAAACACAGAGAGAGGCAGAGACAGAGGTGTAGGGAGAAGTAGGCACCCCCCCAGGACCCTGGGGTCACGACCTGAGACCAAGGCAGAGATGGCAGACGCTCAACCATGCTCAACCACTGAGCCACCAGTGCCCCTCTTCACAGCTTCTTGTGTGATCCCCAACTGCTGCACTGTCTCCTGCTTTCCTTCTTCCTGACTTTGATCTTCCAAAAACACGGTTCCCTCCCCTTCAGGGCCCCTGGGCTTTCTTCCCCTTTCCTCCCCCCCAGTTCATGGCTCTGAATCTCGCATCTGCCACGGTGCCTTCATCCTACTGTGCAGATTATTTTCTTTTTCTTTTTTTTTTTAATTTTTTAATTTATTTTTTATTTTTTATTTTTTAGATTATTTTCTTAATCCTTAGATCATATTCCTTCTTGTTCAGGATAGTTGGATGTTATCTAGCCGTGATCAGGGAAAAGGCAAACTCAGGCTCCCTCTACTCCGCCATCTTAACTCCCTTGCGCTCCATATACTTTTGAATTCTTTCCTGTTAGGAGAAAAGACTCCTTGGATGATAGATTATTTTTGCTACTGCAAGAATCTTCTGTGCTATTGTGTGTGTGTGTGTGTGTGTAAATAGTCTCTAAACCAGCAGGTTGTAGAAGCAAAACAAGAAGTTTTTCTCTTTGCTTTGTCTTTATTCCACTTCTAACCTCTGCTTCCCATCTTTCATAGGTTGCTAGCACTTTAATTTTGTTTATATTTTGCTCTACTTATATTAATGATCTAGTAGTGCTCATTTATTCCTTGGGTACTGACTTTTTTTTCCTTTTTTTTTTTTAACTGAAGATAGCCATATATATGTATATAATATATATATATTAAAGTAGAACCAGTGAATTGAATTTTATGAAGTAATATGCTGGATATTTTCCTTTCAGATTCTGGAAGAAGCAACTGAAGAGGAAACAGCACTTCATAATCGAATTATGCCCACTGTGGTTCGTCCTGCAAAACAGCTGCTTCCTGCATCCACACCTGCAGGAAACCAAGAAATGGTGCGAAATCATGTTAAGTTGGATAATACTGTTGATGCTCATGTTTAGTCCTCACTTTTTGAAATGTTGCTAGAAGATGAAATCACATGTCCTTTATTTGACTCATGTAGATACGAATATTTTAACTGCATTTATCCAAAACTACCTTGTGTATTGTAGACACTCTGTGTGAAACATTGAGATTCAATTATCTTTTTTTAGATTTTTATTTATTTATTCATGAGACACACACAGGGAGAGGCAGAGGTATAGTTAGAGGGAGAAGCAGTCGATGTCCGTCTGTCTATCCCCCGTCCCTGTGCCCCGTGTCCTGTGTTGTCCCCTGTCCTCCACCCCCCCCCCCCGCCACCCCCTGCAAGGAACCAGATGCTGGACTTGATCTGGGACTCTGGGGACTCCAGGATCATGAGCCAAGACAGACGGCAGGCGCTCAACCTTTGAGCCACCTAGGCGCCCGGGATTTAATTCTCATTATCATTACTTTTCCTTCCATTTATGGAGCAACTTAGTGCTTTGTCAATACACGGTGAATAATCCTTTTAAATTGCATCTTTTTCTCAGGATTTAGTAAAAAGAATATGTGAAAGGTTTTATTTTATTTGTTAAAGATTTTATTTATTATTTGAGAGAGAGCAAGAGAGCACAAGCAGGGAGAGTGAGAGGGGGAAGCAGGCTGCCTGCCGGGATCCTGATGCAGGGCTCCATCCCAGAACCCCAGGATCATGACACCAGCTGAAGGCAGGTGCTTAACTGACTGAGCCACCCATGTGTCCTGAAAGGCTTTATTTTTAGGTGAATTTCAAATTATGTTCCTACTTAGTTTATTTTAGTACTTAATATGTTAATGATAGGAAAATACTTGAAAATATTCAAGAATATATATTTTTTAAATGCTAGGAAGTTAGAGAAGCAGTCTTGAAATTGACTTTGAAATAATGGAAGCTCCTTGCTATTTTTAAAATGTCTTGAGGGTGTATCAAGTTTTGTTTTTCTTTTAACTCGAGTATGTTAACGGACCTGATCTATACTATTTTTTTATTCTTTTTTCTTTGTTTTATTTTTAGGAACTGTTTGAACTTCCAGTAAGTAAAGAATGTTAACTTGTTACCTAAGTATACATGCTTTAATTCTAAAAAAAAAAAAAAGTAAATGCTTTGCATCTTTTGAAATTACATAGGCTATTTATGAGATAGGAATTGTTCGCCAGTTCCCATTTTCTTCTGCTTTGCAACGTATGAGTGTGGTTGCAAGGGTGCTGGGGGATAAGAAGATGGATGCCTACATGAAAGGAGCACCTGAAGTCATTGCCAGTCTTTGTAAACCTGAAACAGGTAAGGAAGCAACTAGGCTTTGAGTAAAATTCTTATATTTGTATGTACTTGTATTTGCAATTTTAACAATGACATTTACTTTTTCCTTTTTAAAAGTTCCTGTTGATTTTGAAAAAGTTTTAGAAGATTACACTAAACAGGGCTTCCGTGTGATTGCTCTTGCACACAGAAAATTAGAGTCAAAACTGACATGGCATAAAGTACAGAATATTAGCAGGTAAGGTTGATGAATGGGTTTTCTGCAGTTTTTCCAGTAATGTTTTCCATATAGAAATTTCTGTATGTTGCAAGTATTTATTAAATATTTATGAAATGTATACAACTATACCTAATGCAGTGTTTTGTTTTAGGTGTTTGAGATACAAGCACAATTCTTCAGAATTCTTCTCTGTTAAATATTTATTTAGTGCCTACTATGTGTCAGGCATGTTCTAGGAATAGAACTATGTTTTCAAATGTAAACATAATTCTCTTATAGTTTGTTTTTCCCAAATAATCTACTTGGTTATGCCCAGAGGTTGGAACCAAGTACTATTTTGGTCAGAATATATTGAGTCACAATAACCGTACCAGTCCCCCCTTTCTGGAACAACTCCCAAAGGTCGAATGACATTTCACATCATCACATTTCCTTTTTTCCAGTCTTTCTGTTTCTCTTCCACAGTGTCTCCAGAGAGCTTTTTAACATTCAGATCTGGGGATCCCTGGGTGGCTCAGCGGTTTAGCGCCTGCCTTTGGCCCAGGGCGTGATCCTGGAGTCCCGGGATGGAGCCCCACATCGGGCTCCCGGCATGGAGCCTGCTTCTCCCTCCTGTGTCTCTGCGCCTCTCTCTCTCTCTCTCTCTCTCTCTCTCTCTCTCTCTCTCTCATGAATGAATAGGAATGAATGAATGAATAAATAAATAAATCTTTAAAAAAAAAACCATTCAGATATAATACCAGGTCCTACCTAATATTCTCGTAAATGGCTTCCCATCATGCGGTGGAAGGGTTCACCATCAGGGATATGCATCAGGAAAGAAACAACAAAACGCATAACACTTCATTTGAAAAGAAAGAGAAAGTGTTAGAAGAAATAATCAGAAAGAGACATACAAATGGCCAATGAACACATGAAAATGGTAGTATACTTTATTTAGATCTTTGGAGAATTACAAGATAAAACCACAGTGAGATATCACTTCTTTCCTGAGGTTGGTGAAGTTGAAAAGATTGATAATACCAAGTGTTAGTGAAGGCTTGAGAAAATTTTAATGACATACAGCTACTACACTATTGTAGATTCATAATGAACATGTGTAATACCTATCAAAATTTAAATGTGCTTATACAATTTGACCCAGCAAGTGCAATTCTGGGAATCCAGCTTAAAGAGCTATTTCTACAAGTGTATAAGGTTCAGGTTGAAATAGTGTCAATAACATAACCAATAGGGCAGTGGCTAAATTATGGACTGTTAACACTTCTATTAATTATAGCTTTTCTTGCTATGTGAAAGTGAAGTGTTCTTGTGAAGCTATTCCTAAGCCAAAATGCCTTAAAGTGAAGAAACAGTTTAATTTACGTGGACAAAATTTTGAGTATTTCCGACTCCAAAAATAAGCTTTTCTGATACCTTAGGACACATCTTCCTTCCTTCCTTCCTTCCTTCCTTCCTTCCTTCCTTCCTTCCTTCCTTCCTTCCTTCCTTCCTTCCTTCCTTCCTTCTTACCATATCTCTTTTTTTTTATTGGAGTTCAATTTGCCAACATTTAGCATAACACCCAGTACTCATCCCGCTGTGCCCCCTCAGTGCCCGTCACCCAGTCACCCCAACCCCCTGCCCACCTCACTTTCCACTACCCCTTGTTCATTTCCCAGAGTTAGGTGTCTCTCATGTTTTGCCACCTCCTCACTGATATCTATTTTCACTCATTTTCTCTCTTTTCCCTTTCCCTTTCACTAATTTTTATATTCCCCAAATGAATGAGACCATATAATGTTTGTCCTTTCTGATTGACTTATTTCACTCAGCATAATACCCTCCAGTTCCATCCACGTCAAAGCAAATGGTGGGTATTTGTCGTTTCTAATGGCTGAGTAATATTCCATTGTGTACATAGACCACAGCTTCTTTATCCATTTATCTTTCGATGGACACTGAGGCTCCTTCCACAGTGTGGCTATTGTGGACATTGCTGCTATAAACATCGGGGTGCAGGTGTCCTGGCATTTGACTGCATCTGTATCTTTGGGGTAAATCAGGACACTGATGCAGGCACAGAATAAGTCAGGATAGAACAAGATGCTCACAGACACTGTTCAAAGCTGTGTGGTGGCTCTATGTTGAGATGCTGATTGTAATTCCCAGGGAAGGAGCTGGGAGCACCATTCTCACTGCTCAGGAGTCCATTGCTTCTGAAATGATCCACTGCAAAACATGCTAAATGCTAAGTTTGCCTTTTGCCCTTTCTTTCTTGAAAGCAAAAAATCCTGTTCAATTTCTTTCAGTTAGTGAAAACAAGTATTAATATAGGTCTTTCATAAAGTAAAGTGACCTAATGGAAGCTTTTGGAAAGTGGGAGATAGATACCTGTATTTTCAGGCACACTAAGTGAAAAGAATTAGGGCAGTGTTCAGAGTACAGTCTTGTTTTTCTGAATGAGAACTGAAGGAGTGGAATGGATAGCCCAATAGCTAAAAGGAAAAACTATGTTCAGAATTCTATTAACACAATATTTGGGGGATGTGGTTTATGCATGAACATTTAAAGAAAAAAAAAGCAATAGCCAGATGATCTGATGGATATGCTTCTTTGGGAGGTACACATGTAAAATACTCTCTTCTGATTCTTGTGAAGGGGCACATTAGGCTCTTTCTCTGCAGCTTTACCTTTTGCCATTTTCCCCCTTAAAGTCTAACTACTGATTTTCTTTAGTTCTTGAGCTTCTCCTATTCAGATCTCCTTTCATGCCCTTGAGTAGGCTATTCCTTCTCTGCACAGAACTTTCTCTACTCCCCTTCTTCCACATCTTTCAACCAAGACCTTCTCTGTCTTTCCATTCTATCTTACAGGGGCAAGTTTTGGCATTTCTCTTACAGCTTGAACCTTTATATCTTCAGCAGAATATTACTTTATTCATTCATTAGGGGACAAAGTTTCCATGACCTGTGTCATTCATTGGAGAATTAGGAAAACAGTAGCAGCCAAAAAACTAGCAGATCATGGGAAAATGGCTACATTGCTTAGACCCTAGAGTTTCACATTGGTACAGCTTTGTTCCCTGAAATGCATTTTTAGAGTTCAAGATTTATTTCTACTATCAACCACCAGCAGTGTCATTTGTATGGTTTCTAAACGTTTTTTTAAGAGCACAACTTTTTTTTTTTTTTTTAAGATTTCATTTATTTTCGTAAGAAAGAGAGAGAGGGAGAAGCACAAGCCGGGGGAAGGGCAGAGGGACAGGGAGAAGCAGACTCCTCGCTGAGCAGGGAGCCCCATGTGATTTGGGGCTCGATCTCAGGACCCTGAGATCATGACCTGAGCCAAAGGCAGACAGCTTAACTAACTGAGCCTGCAGTCCCCCCCAACTGTTCTTTAATACCTTTACCGTCCATAGTTATAAATTATATTTCAAAGGTTGTTTTTAGAGCTGTGTATTTAAAGTGCCTTTATTGAATTTTGCGTCAAAAAACCACTTGGGGGCAGTTCCGGTGCAGCGGTTTAGCACCTCCAGCAGCCCTAGGCGTGATCCTGGAGACCCTGGATCGAGTCCCACGTCAGGCTCTCTGCATGGAGCCTGCTTCTCCCTCTGCCTGTGTCTCTGCTTCTCATTCTCTCTCTGTGTCTCTGAATAAATAAATTAATTAAAAAAAAAACAAAACCACTTGGTTGGGACGCCTAAGTGTGGCTCAGTGATTGAGCATCTGCCTTTGACTCGGTGTGATCCCAGAGTCCTGGGATCAAGTCCTGCATCAGGCGTCATGCATGGAGCCTGCTTCTCCCTCTGCCTGTGTCTCTGCCTTTCTCTCTGTATCTCGCATGAATAAATAAATAAAATCTTTAAAAAAAACTTTAAAAAAAGAATACAGTCATCTCCATGATATTTTTGTATGCACCTCTCTTTTTATTTTTATTTTTATTTTTATTTTTTTGCACCTATTTTTTTAAAAGACTATTTATGTATTTGACTGAGAGAGAGAGAGAGGACGGACAAGGGAAAGAATCCCAAGCAGAATCTCCACTAAGTGCAGGGTTCGATCTCACAACCCTGAGATCATGACTTGAGTCGAATTAAAGAGTTGGATGCTCGACCAACTGAGCCTCTGAGCCTCTGAGCCTCTGCATGCATCTCTTTGCTGGCATGTTTGTTTTCTCACAAAAACTCCATGAGTAGAGATCATACCTTTTCATCTTTGACTTCCCAATGACTAGTAGTACTACTTGTGCAGAGTAGATAACTCAACTTTTGAAGGAATAGCCTCTTAATAGCTATTGAATATTAATAAATATTTTAAGAGCCCCATCTCTGGGACCCATTGTAGATCTTATTGTCAGACTGCTAAATAGTTTTTGTATCATACTTCCAAGATTGAGAATTTGATTATGAGTCCTTTAAAAATCATCAAAGGCTTGATAGTGAATTCACTATAACTGTTTTGAATGTGATGTGGTCAAGGTTTTCCTTTTCTTGTTAATATTTATGTTAGGGTACACTGAGGGGGGCAATAAAGCATAGATTTATTTATGCTTACTCATTTTGTGGGTAGAATACAAGGTGAACATTTGTTAGTACTACAGATGTTTAGTGTCTTACAAAGATGGCATTTCCAAATTATCCTTATTTCTCACATTTCAGAGGGTAAAATTTTATGTTACAATGTAACTCTTGGGAATTATTTTTACAGATGCAATATTTTTGAGATACTGAACGCAAACACACATTTATGGTTTATGGTTTATTCAACATATAAAATGTTTCAATTTGTAAATTATGGGTATTTTAAACTGCCTTATTTATTTATTATTTATTTATTTATTTATTTTTCAAAGATTTTATTTATTCATGAGAGAGAGAGAGAGAGGCAGAGACACAGGCAGAGGGAGAAGCAGGCTCCATGCAGGGAGCCCGATGTGGGACTCGATCCCGGGTCTCCAGGATCAGACCCTGGGCTGAAGGCAGGCGCTAAACCGCTGAGCCACCCGGGCTGCCCTGCCTTATTTATATAAAGAAAACAGGATCTGTTCTGTGGACTGAGCTATTATGTGTTAAAATTTCTTTTTCTGCAGAGACGTCATTGAAAACAACATGGATTTTATGGGATTAATTGTAATGCAGAACAAATTAAAGCAAGAAACCCCTGCAGTACTTGAAGATTTGCATAAAGCCAACATTCGCACTGTCATGGTCACAGGTTAGACATTATAGAAGGACACAGGAAAAATTGAGAGTTCAGGTTATGGGATATTGTGGAATGATCAGTTATGAAAGTATATGGTGGCTCCATCCTACCTTGTCCCATTGTAGCTCAGAATGTTTTTTAAAGGTATAAGATAACTTTGCAGTACTCTTTTGAGGGCTAGCAAATTCTGTTTCTAGAAGTAGTAAAATGGTGGAGGGCATTTTGAAAAAAATTTAGATTCATATTTTTTATAGCAGTTGTTGTATCTTGTGTTAGTTATTTGTAGATTTGTTTTCTCTACTAGAGCCTAAGATTCTAGGGGGTGAAGAGAATGTTTTGTTCATTTTGGGGGTCTCCTGTAATTTTTAGAACTGTGCCAGATGGATGGAAAATGTTTAATAATATTTGTTAGAATTATATTTTTATGTATAAAAGTATGTTTATTATCATTGCTTGAATTCATACTAGTGAAAATAGCCATTGTTTGATTGGTTTTTGATTTCTGATGACTATATCCAAATGATTTTCCTGGAATTATTATATTGTTGATATTAGATAATTCCCGTTCCTTAGCTCTGTGAAATTGTGGCAGCTCTTAAGTATTTTTTTCTTAGTACATAATCAGAATTAAGATTATCACTTTATGGCTCTTGTGTGTTTATTAAGACCTGTATGGAAAAGGCAATTGACAATTTATTTATTTTTTTTTAATTGTTTGTTTTAGACTCTGAGATCAATGTAATAGCATACTTATTTACCACTGTGTAGCTCAAGTAAAGAAATTTAATAGCATCCCAGCAATTCCTTGGTTCTAATGATTCCTCCTTCAAAACACTTTCCCTCTCAGTCTCTTCCCCTCTTTCCCTGCCATGACAGACTGTGGCCTTGTGTCCCACAGAAATAGTATGTGGGAACTGGGGGGACAGAAGGCCTATTACCCTTCAGTTCTGGCAGCAGTGGCCTTTCCCTGCCTCTCACATATATTTATATTTTCTTGATCCTGTTATTTCAGGGCTTTCTTTTCTCCTTTTCATGATGGAGAGGATGTCTGTTTTCTCTTCCTATCTTGTAAAGATTGTATTCTTGTTACCTTATCATTTTACTTCTGTAATCCATTCTTTTTTTTTCCTGTGATATTAGGTATTCTTATACAGACCATCAGTCACTCCTAAGTTATTTCAACTAATATTTTTTGAGCACCTGCTATGTGTATGGCACTGTGCCAGGTGTTGATGGTTACTACTAGTGCATGACTGAAAAAGATTCACAATATATCTGGCTTTAAAAATTGTAGGTGAGAATGGTCTGACTGTTAAGCATATGTGTGCTTCCGTTATTTGAGGCTTCCTTTGAAAAGTATGTTTCAATTTTAATTATTTTTAAGCTCCAAGAGTAAGACTGTATATTATCTTCTTGCCAAGCCCAATCATAGATCTTCTTGATAAGTATTAATTGCTGAATACATTTATGAATACATTTATCTTCCTATTTTATTTGTATTTTCAATATTTTGAAAATTAGGTGACAACATGTTGACCGCTGTTTCTGTGGCTAGAGACTGTGGAATGATACTACCTCAGGACAAAGTTATTATTGCTGAAGCATTACCTCCAAAGGATGGGAAAGTTGCCAAAATAAATTGGCATTATGCAGACACTCTAACACAGTGCAGTAATTCATCAGCAATTGACTCAGAGGTAATGTCAAGAAGAATTTTCCCTTCTGAAGCTTGCTTGTTTGAATTTAGTCCGAAAAAATAAAGGTGGTGCATTAAAACAGAACACAACAAAAAACAAATGAAAACAGACACCTGGGCCACCTCCTCAGAGATTGATTCATTAGGATTCATTATCTTAAAAGATAATCCCAGATATTTATCCCGCTTTAATTTTTTTTTTAAGATTTTATTTATTTATTTATTCATGAGACACACAGAAAGAGAGAGGCAGAGACAGGCAGAAGCAGAGGGAGAAGCAGGCTCTATGCAGGGAGCCTGATGTGGGACTTGATCATACCCCGAGCTGAAGACAGGTGCACTTAACCGCTGAGCCACCCAGGCATCCCTTAATTTTTTTTTTTTTTAAGATTTATTTATTTCAGAGAATGAGAGTCCAAGAATTGGGGGAGGGGCAGCAGGAGAGAATCCTCAAGCAGACTCCCTCCCTAGCGTGGAGCCCATGAGATCATAACCTGGGTTGAAACCAAGAGCAGTTAACCACTCTTAACTGAACCATCCAGGTGCCCGTATCCTATTTTAAAGGTAATAATAAATGGTGCCAGTGGTCCATAATATTTAGTCCATGCATTATTTGAAACCAAAGCTGATTTTAGCCTTTTTTTTTTTTTAAAAAAAAACCACTAACGGTAGCTTGCCTTAAAATTTTCCTTTTACTTTTAACAAATGTTAAACTTTCATTGTTTTATGTAAAATATCAGATGAAAGACTTTAGCTTTAGATCAAATATATTTAAAATAGGATTTTGTTACTTGGTCTAGATGCCTAAATACGGTTTTGAATGTCTCATGCACAGGCTATTCCAATTAAACTGGTCCATGATAGCTTAGAGGATCTTCAGGTGACTCGTTATCATTTTGCAATGAATGGAAAATCATTTTCAGTGATATTGGAACATTTTCAAGACCTTGCTCCTAAGGTTAGTGGCTTAGGTTTATGTATGTATGTGTTCAAATGAAGATGTTGCAAACCATATTTTAAAGAAATTTGTATTTTTCCCAGTTGATGTTGCATGGCACTGTGTTTGCCCGTATGGCACCTGATCAGAAGACACAATTAATAGAAGCATTGCAAAATGTAGAGTAAGTATTGGTGGGGTTTTTTGTTTTTATGGATTATAATTTCATTTTCAAAATCAGAAAAATAATATTTCATGTGTATGGAGTTGTCACCTGTCAGTAGGTGATAACTCTAAGTGCCTTTTTAAAAGAGACTCATGTTCATTTATTTAGCTAAAGTATAATATCCATAATTCCTTTTCCAGGTAGTATCTGTAAGAAAGGCTTCATTCACCCAGCTTGTAACTTCATAGTTTCTATTAATAATTACGTTTATTTTTTATTTTATTTTTATTATTTATTTTATTTATTTATTTGTTTAAGTTTTAAACGGAGAAATCTTTACCAATAGCCTTAAAAGTAGTTTACTAAAGACTGTACAGACCCATGACCTTTGCTCTAAAATTAGGAAACTGAGATGCCAAATAAGAAACTTATTTGCCCAGCTTGTGACAGAAATGGGACAGTAACTCAGGTTATTTGGCTTGCAAGCTGGTGATGTTTGCAAAGCAACATGCCTTTGGTCATTGTGATAAATAGATTCTTTAGTTCCATTGGGGAGGTCTTGGTCTGTCAGCTCTTCATAATAAAATAACATATTGGGGAAATCTTAAGTTAAATGTTTGTTTTATAAAGGTAATCAAAATCTTAAAAAAGTAATCAAAATCTTAACCTAATTTTTGTTTCTCAGTTACTTTGTTGGGATGTGCGGTGATGGCGCAAATGATTGTGGTGTAAGTATGGTTTTTGTGATTTATAGTTCGTTCTTTAGCCTAAGTCATAGTCACAAAACGTAACCACTTTTCTTCTTCAACCATTAGGCTTTGAAGAGGGCGCATGGAGGCATTTCGTTATCAGAGCTCGAGGCTTCAGTGGCATCTCCCTTTACCTCCAAAACTCCTAGTATTTCTTGTGTGCCAAACCTTATCAGGTAGCACAAGTTGAAAATTTCACTATTATTTTTGTGGATTGCTCTAATAATATAGAAAAAATTATAGAAATTAATATGAGTTTGTTTTAATGATGTATTATTAGTATATTCGATCTGTAAGTTCACTAGCAATAGGTTGCAACTTCTCTTTCGGTTCTGCTTGGCTTTAGTTCTTTTGTTAGAAAAGTGCTTTGTTGTAGCTGTTGAATGTTGATGTTCATCTGTTAAGATGTAATTGTGATTTGGAAGAGTTCAAAATGCTTTTATTCACATGCCAACATTTGTTTTCACAGGGAAGGCCGTGCTGCTTTAATGACTTCTTTCTGTGTGTTTAAATTTATGGCTTTGTACAGCATTATACAGTACTTCAGTGTTACTCTGCTATATTCTGTGAGTACTGTCATTGCTTATAGAGATGGTGCTTTTATTAAGGCATTTGAACCAAAAAATTGAGTATGTTTGCATCCACTAAGTATGGAACTTACATAACTAGCCCCTATAAATTTTCATTTAGTTTATTATATTTCGAGTAGCAGCTTGAAAATCTCATTAGTCTAGAACAGTATTTTCTTTAACGTTGATGACTGGTTAGGACCCTATGAATAAAAGGTGATTGTAATTTTTTTTTCCTTTAGTGCAGATTGGGAATTCTTCAAAATGTCAAGCTGTGACATATTTTGGATTTGTAGTTAACTTTGCTATATATTTACAGAAAAAGGTCAGAATAAGGAAAGATGTTTCAGCAGTAGTTTGTAGGACTTTCTGTATTTGGAGAAAAAATGTAAACAAGTGACATCTATAGGTATACTCCATCAGATTTGATAATTGAAGTGATCTCACTTTAGAATTTTCTCAAAACAAATGTGACATCCCAGGGAGTCTTTGTGAAACTATCCCTTTCTACCATTTGTAGAAAGGATCAGGGAGGATGATGTTAGATAGTCTTAGGAAGCTTTGAGATACTAGTTTTCAAGAGTGTTGAATATTGTAAGTACAAGCTTCTGGTTTTGTTTTGTTTTTGCCAAAAACCTTAAATTTTTACTGAATGAATGTTTAGTAGCAGCCTTTTATATTAGTAAATTGAATCTTTGCAAATACGTGTTATTTTTCACTAATATAAAAGGTAATTGTATTTTAATTTTTAAGCAGGTCTAAGTGTCGCTTTAAAGTTGTCCTTATTGGTGGTGGGAGGAGGGAGATACTAAAACCAAGGAGGAAAAATCTAAAGCTGGGGGAAAGTGATGTAAAAATAGTTTCTGTAAAACTAATTATGTTTTAAAAATTACTTCTGTAGATCTTAAGTAACCTAGGAGACTTCCAGTTTCTCTTCATTGATCTGGCAATCATTTTGGTAGTGGTATTTACAAGTGAGTATTTTGCTTCATTATTGGTTTAATATGAAATTCTGATGTAACTCATTAAACTTTGGTAAATTTATAACAATAATTATAACACAGTGCATACTGCTTTAGATTCCTTGTAAATACTTCATTTACTACGAGTTGTTTTTAGTATATGTGCTGCCGAAGTGAGCACTAATACAAGTTGTTTTTATTTGTCCTAGTTGTTTTATTATTTTATTGTTCTTCATCTTTTCTAAAATATTTGAGAATAAGTTTGTGTAATCATGCCCCTTTGCATCCACGTATTTTATTGTATATTGTCGCCAAAGTCATTCTCTTAGGTAATTAAACATAGTTATAAAGATGAGAAAGTTTAACAGTGATATAATATCTAATCCACAGCACATAATCAGATTTTGTCATATATCCCAATAATGTCCTTTCTACCTATTTTTTCCCCTTGTTCTCTAGACCAGAATCTAATCTAAGCTCACAAATTTCATTATCATGTCACTTTAGTCTTTTTTTTTTTTTTTTTTAAAGATTTAAAAAATTTTTTGAGAGAGAGCAAGAGAGAACAGGTGGGGGGGCAGAGGGAGAGAGAAGCAGACTCTCCATTGAGCAGGGAGCCTGATCTGGGGCTTGATCCCAGGGTCCTGCGGTCATGACCTGAGCCAAGGTAGGCGCCCCACTGTAGTGTTTTTTAAATCCAGAATATTACATCAGCCGTTTTGGGGGACATCTTGATGTTGACATTTATGAAAGAAGAAGCCCCACTTATATGGATTTGTCTGATTAGACATTAGACTCGGGCTGTGAATTCTTGGCAGGAGGATTGCAATACTGTATCCTACGTACAGCATATGAGGGGACACAAGATGTTGGTTTATTTGGTCTTGGTGATTATATCAAAAGAAATCATGATGTAATGGATATAACCCACTTAGTCAAATGAAAATTCACAAGTCCATATTGGAAATAAATAGGGAGAGAAGGGAAAGCTCTGCCTGAGAGTAAAATGCAAACTAATAACTATAGAAGGAATAATGGACTTTGACCATGGAAAGACCCTGCTCTGACTGACCTTTTAGGCCAGATAATTCTTTTCAGTGCATTAGAGGGTGCTAAGCAGCATCTCTGGCCTCTACCTGCTAGATGCCAGTAACCCTGGCACATCATATCTCACGTCATGATCTTGGGGTTCTGGGATCGAGTCCTGCGTCAGGCTCCCTGCTCAGTAGGAAGCATGTTATTCTCCCTCTCCTTCTGCCCCTCCCCCTTGCTCATGTGCTCGCTCTCTTTCAAAATAAATAAAATCTTTAAAAAACCAACAAAAACGAAGGTTGAAAGCTATATAAGCATAACAGTAACTTAAAAAAGGGCTTTGAACACTTATTAAGGTGATAACTACCAAGTTTCTCCACTATAATTTCTGCTCTTCTCTTTGTAATTTTATTATGTAATCTGTAGAAAAACACTGAAACAATGAAAAATCCTGTTCCTCATTAAATTTTCACTAACTAGTTTTAGTATCCACTAAAGATTGTTTAACCCAGTGGTTCTCAACCAACATGATTTTGCCCCCCAGAGAACATCTGACAATGTCTGGAGGTATTTTTGGTTGTCAGAACTGAGCCACCAGGCGCCCTGCTTTCAACCTTCGTTAATGTCTCCTTTTTTGGTATGTGTTAATGTCTTAAGAGGAAGAAATATGTATTATTACTGTAGCTTTGCAATTAAAGATGCAAAAAATAAATTCTTAAACAAGGATGATTAAAATTATAATTTATATGTTTATGTTTAGTATTCTTGTACTAGCGTTTCTCTGAAATTCAGTAGGCTAATAGAAAAGTACTTGTGAGGCACTTTTGAAAAAGCCTAAATTGTATATTTTTACAGATGATTTAAATATGTATGACATCTGGATTGGCTTTGGGACATTTTTCATATTAAAGATTTGTTAGATGGAACGAATTTAAGTTCCTAAATGAATCTGATTTTGTATTTTATAGCAACCTGTTTAGATAAAAACCTCTCCTTTTTTTCCTCCTCAATATAGTGAGTTTAAATCCTGCCTGGAAGGAACTTGTGGCACAAAGACCACCCTCAGGTCTTATATCCGGGGCTCTTCTCTTCTCCGTTTTGTCTCAGATCATCATCTGCATTGGATTTCAATCTTTGGGATTTTTTTGGGTCAAGCAGCAACCTTGGTATGAAGTATGGCATCCACAATCAGAGTAAGTTGGTCAATCCATTTTAAAAATCTTGTGCAAAATGTGTTGGAACATATATGCGTGTAAAAATAAGTTTTAAGGGCAGCCCTGGTGGCGCAGTGGTTTAGCGCTGTCTGCAGCTCAGGGCGTGATCCTGGAGACCCTGGATCAAGTCCCACGTCAGGCTCTCTGCATGGAGCCTGCTTCTCCTTCTGCCTGTGTCTCTGCCTCTCATTCTCTCTCTGTGTCTCTATGAATAAATAAATAAATAATCTTAAAAAAAAAGTTTTAAAATTATTTAAAAGTTCCCCAGCAGGGACACCTGGGTGGCTGGGTGGTTGACGTCTGCCTTCAGCTCAGGGCATGATCCCGGGGTCCTGGAGTCCCGCATTGGGCTCCCTGCAGGGACCCTGCTTCTCCCTCTACCTGTGTCTCTGCCTCTCTGTGTCTCTTATGAATAAATAAATAAAATCTTTAAAAACAAAATGTTCCCAAGCTGTTTGATTATATAATTAAGTTATTAGGCCTGTATTTGACTTTACAACATGGTAACTCCTTTTATTTCTAGAAATGTGGTCAGGCGTGGTGGTTGTCATAATTATTACCAAGATGAGACTATCGGATCAGTTTCCTAATTAGCTGTAAAATGAAAAGATTGAAATTAGTAGAGTCTTCTAAACCCACAATGTTTGTGCCTCTAACTTTTTCCAAATTTAGGAAAGACATTTTAAGACGTATAAAAACTTGTAAAAAAGTACTAAGTGCTTCTCTTATTTATGGGTATTCTATCAGTCACAAATTATGATAAAATTATTTTAATTAAACATGTAAGCTGGGATGCCTGGGTGGGGTCAGTCAGTTAAGCATCTGACTCTTGATATTAGGGTTTTGAGTTCAAGCCCCAAAGTGGGCTCCACGTTGAGTGTGGAGTCTACTTAATTAAAACACACACACAAAAAAAATGCCTTCAGCCCAGGGCGTGATCCTGGAGTCCCGGGATCGAGTCCCACGTTGGGCTCCCTGCATGGAGCCTGCTTCTCCCTCCTCCTGTGTCTCTGCTTCTCTCTCTCTCTCATAAATAAATAAACAAATAAATAAATAAATCTTAAAAAAAAAAAGGTTGTAGGAAACTAAGAAATTTAACATTACTGTTTGCCTGTGTGTACGTATAAACACTACGCACCCAAGGGAATAGATGGAATTGTTCGGGGGAAGCTTTCCAGAATTCATTTGTAGCAGATTAACATTTTATTAGTACTTGCCTGTGCTTTTATAATTAATGTTTTAGTGCTTGTTGTTAAGTGTGTTGGACAGTCCTGCTCACCTGGAAGCAGAGCTGAGAGCGTGCCGTAGAGAGGAGGTTGGGGCCCATCTCAGTGCTAAAGTGCTTTGCTGGGCGTTTATTTACAGGAGTCCTCTTCCCCATTCTTCACAGAAACCCTGTGATGGCGCAGGCGGTATCTGTCCTTACAGATCAGGAAATGGGGGCTCAGAAATGAAAGAATATTTCCTCAGTTAAGCTAAAAAGTGGTAGAGCTAATAAGGTTAAACCTAAGGTCTGTTAACCATTACTGTGTTTCTTTGTTTGTTTGTTTGTTTGTTTTCTTTTGATTCTAGTATGGTCAACTTACAGTGTTATATTACTTTTATCCCCAAATTTAAAAAGTGAGAGGAGCTTATTAAATATGAAGTTTCTTCTAGTATTTTTTTTAAAATGACTGGAATGTGACTAAGAAAGAGACCCTTAACTCTATTGCCTGTTCTACATATTTTTATCTTGATATCATTGAAATTTTTCCTATAAAAAACCTTATTTCTATGTATATTATGAAAGTGATTCAAAAGCAGTTAAAATAATTTTTTTTAAAGAATTTACTTATTTATTCATGAGAGACACACACAGAGAGAGAGAGAGAGAGCCAGAGAGACACAGGCAGAGGGAGAAGCAGGCTCCATTCAGGGAGCCCGATGTGGGACTCGATCCCGGGTCTGCAGAATCACGCCCCGGGCTGAAGGCAGACGCTCAACCGCTGAGCCACCCGGGCATCCTGGAAAATGGATTTCTTTTGGGAAATGAGAATGGTATTTAGTAATGTAAAATATTTTTGTGTTCTAGTGCTTGTAATACAACGAGAAGCCTATATTGGAACTCTTCACATTTGTACAATGAAACTGAACTTGATACGCGTAATATACAAAATTATGAAAATACCACAGTGTTTTTTATCTCCAGTTTTCAGTACCTCATAGTGGCAATTGCCTTTTCAAAAGGAAAACCCTTCAGGCAGCCTTGCTACAAGAATTGTAAGTTTGGCATATGTGATTTTTATTCTGCTTCGTTTCTTTAAAAATGTTGTAGGAAGAGTAGAGTTAAACTGTTCTTTCAAAATGAAATAGGTCTTCACAAATAGAATGAACCTAGTGATTTAGGTGTTTACTGTCTTGTTTTGTTCTCATGGTAGCTGCCACTCTAAAGTTTAAAATTGAAGCCACCAGTTCTAAACATTCCTGGTTTTCACATCCAATTGCTTCTGGCTCCAGCTTTTATTTTTACAGCCCATTGCAGACAGAGTTAGAATTAGAAGCAGGAACAGAGGTTCTTCATTTGGAACAGTGGATATTATATTTTGCTTCTGGGTGGTCTGCACAGTGCCAGCTGTCTTTTTGTCATTTTTGACCCTGGTACAAGACAGTATTCACCTGGAATCCTTCATTTGTGTCACCTTTGCATCCACTTTGCTTAAAGGGCCAGTAGAATGGAGTCTTATGCCTGCATTGACTCATCTAGCTATAGCAATCGGAGATAACATTTTGATTGATCAAAATTAGGGGTTATGGGGAAAAAAATCAATGACTATAAATTGCCAATTTTCAAAAAGTTGAGAATATAATAATATATGGGATAACTTAATTTTTGTCATAAAGAACTTTAGATTTTTGCAGTATCAATGAATGAACAGTAATTCTTTTGCTGTAGTAGAAAGAAATGCCACTGTTCTGGTTGGCAAACTCAGGTCACAGATTTCGGTATATCCTAGACGTAAGTAACAACTACTAGCATTTATTTCTATCATGAGAGTTTACAGAGCATTTTCTCATATATTTAATTTGTAATTGTCCACTATGTGGTTTGTAGGTCAAGTTTTATTTCTACTTTGGACAGGTAAGACTGTTCAAGTATTAATAATGTTTAAATCTGATTTTATGCTTTTCTTTTACAAAAACTGATATTGGGGTGTCTAGGTGCTGCAGTTGAGTGTCTGACTCTTGGTTTTAGCTCAGGTCGTGATCTCAGGGTCATGGGATTGAGGCCCGTATCCGTGAGGTGAAGCTTTTCTCAGGGTTCTCTCTCCCTCTCCTGTTGCCCCTCCCTCAACCAAATAAATAAATTAAAAACAACAACAACAGAAACCTCTGATATTATCTAACAAGTAGAAACTGTATTACTGAAAAGCATATTGGAAGCACGCTTTGGAACAAAAAGCCTTCCATAGAAGTTCAAAAGCTTCTGAGTACTTAATAACTAAAGTTAGCTTTAGTTAAGGTGAACTTAATTAAAGTTGACATACATGTTTTATTTTTAGTTCCATATTTTTAAATTTCAAGGGTATTTAGCATGCCCAAGGGTAGCTAAAACATCTCGTCAGAGAATAATGCTCTCTTTATAGAAGAAAACTGGTGTTCAGACTGTAAGTAAGACAGCCATGTCAGGAAAGTTAATTTTATAGATCTAAGTAAATCAACCCTATCTATCCATGCCACTCCAATTAAAAAGAGAGATTATTAATTGCCAATTTTTTAAATGCATCTTTTGTATTGGAAAATTTCAAGAAATTTAAAAGCTTTGTATTACCGTATAATTTTGTATTAAGATATTTTGTATTTGCATGTAAATTCAAATTGACTTGAATAAATAATAAACTCAGTTGTTGATCATTGGACTATTTTTTTAAGATGTGTATTAAAAATTATGTTTTAGCAAAAATATACCCACAAAAACCTTTGTCCTTAATATAAGCAGCTTGTGCATGTCTGGTGGATAAACGGAAGTGCATGCTGTCTTAAAATATGCCTCCTAAAAAAGTAAAATAGGAACACTAAAGACAGCATTCACGTATTTTGCTGATTTTTACATCTTGTCTGTCATTAGAGTTCCTTAATCTTTCCATTACTGATGAATAAAGAAGTAGGGGTGGGAAAGCAGTGATAGGAATAGTCTAACAGTATAAAGAAATAATACAGCATAAGGTATAAGTAGAGCTGGGAATGAGTGAGGCTTTACTAGAGCTGACATTAGCTCTTCTTTCTTTGCTAGGACTTGCTGGTGCTATTCTCTGTCTTAACAGTGAAACGTATTAAACCTGTTTTGAGATTATTGTTTTAAAAAATTAATCTCAATCTTAGGCATGTTAGGCATTCTCGTCAGAGTGTTTTTGTACTCTTTTGTACTCTTGGATTCTGAATCAAACTGAATTGCAGTCTGCAGTGACCCATTTTCAGCTTCAGCTTATTAGCCCAGTTATATTTTTCTCCTTTGACCGTGGGCCGTGATGATACAGGCTTAATTCTTAGAGTCTCATTTAACTAGATGTGATCTCTTGGATTTGGCTTTCTTTTTTGCTACAGCGTCTTACTTGAGTCCTATAACTTCCTGCTTGTGACATCCAAGTCCGGTCTGCGAAGACCTCACTGCTGGACTGCCAGTATTTCTCCTCTTCTGGGTCTATATTTTTTCCTGTTCCTCTGCCAGGCCTGAATTGATTGGAGCAGATACCTAGAGGCTCTGCAGGATAAGGTGGCCTTTCAAAGATAAACTGAATAATAAGGAAGTAGGGTTAGGAATAAAAAGACTTGAAATTTGTGGTTATAAGTCAGAAGACCCCAGTTCATATTTTTGAGGAAGGAACAAGAGAAGTATATATCAGAGTCATGAACGAGTATTGTAGGTTTATTTATTCTATGTAAGGCTTTATTTCTGAGTTACATACTAAGGGGAACTTAAAGGAACTCCTTTATGATGCCTGATTTTGATGCCATATGCCATCAAAACCAACTGGTTTTGATGAACAAATCTGTGATGCCATAAGCTGAGACATCGTTCATAATAACTTGAATTTACAAATGCTTTGCATTTGAAGGCCTAAGTCTACTCTTTCCTCTGGTATCCTCATCATATCCTCATCTTATTAGTTGAAATACCTCAGCTCCTAGGGATGTGTTCATGTTCACACAGCTTTGTGGTGGAATCTAAATGTTTACCTTAAAGATTTGGTAAACATCTCCCCTTATCTCCAGTCCCCACCAACACAGAATTAGTTTTGATCGCTCAGTCTTCTGGTGAAGAGCATTACTTGTACTTCAGTAGCGATGCCAGGAGAGTCGAGGAGCGGAGAGCACAGTCTGCTAGAAACTCTGTAGCTCTCAAAAATGAATACCTGGTTTTCCCATTCTTGGTTTCTCTGTTTATCTTTTCATTTTGGTGGTTATTTACATTGGCCGCCGATGCGCGTCCCTGTCAGATTCCTTCTAATAGCGCCTCTTTCTTTACCCTGGCTAAAGAAAGGAAAGGTTTAAATACTTATTTTCTGCTTCACATGGATATCTTGGCAGGTTTTTAGACGTGTGATCAAAGGGAGTGGCTTTAGGAGAAAGAGGAAAATTTGAGAAACGCTATTGAGGTGGATTTAAGAAGTTTATGAGCCTGAGTAAAAAATTGTTTTCTGGCAACATGTCAGGAACTAGATGACAAATCTCTTTTGTGTATAGCTGTAAAAATGCAGTAAAATTTGGAAAACATTCAATAGGGGCTATTACTATTTTGAAACCACTTTTTCTGTCTCTGTGTCTCTCTGGCATTTGTATTCTGACCATTTCTTCTTGTTCTTTTTCTGATTTTGTCTTTTGTGTGTTTCTGTACTTACACTTTCCAAATGCTTTTTTTTTTTTAACTGACCACATTAACTCTTTGAATAACTATATAACTTATGTATTGCCTTAGCTGCTACATTTATGGAATAAAATGTTAATGTTTTCTGTTTATAGTTTAGTAGTGTGTTTTAAAAATAAAAATATAGGGAAAAATTTTTTAAATCTAACATGTGTCCCAGATTTTTCATCCTGTCGGTCAGTGACTCATAATAAAAGTTCCCCTACTTTGGCATGGATGTTAAATAATACAACTTTCTGCCTAAGTTGTTAGAACAATAAATATGTATGTTAATATATATAAACAATAACTATGTTATTTCTGCAGAGCAATGAATGATATTAGCCTATCGTTTTGAAACTGACATATTAACAGTGTTTATATTTATAAATGACTCCTATATTTAAAAATAGTATGAGATCCCTCATTTACAGTCCATAGAATAGTATATTAACTTCTTTACCCAATCTGAAGGATTTCTGATAAAATTTTGGTTCCACGTGGTATTAATAAAATTTGAGTTTCAAGATAACCTCAGAAAAGATTTTGTAAATAAATATCCAGGCCAAAGAAAAAAGGGAAAAGAGTTGGAGAATACCAATATAATGGGGAAATTTCTGAGCCTTAAGGCTCATTATATAAATAAGAGTCTGCTTGTTTATGTGCAAATGTATGCATTCATATACACAGTTAGCAAATGGCCATAAGCAGGGAGTTTTCAGTTGGAAAGTAATGGGAAGTACTGATGGACTGAATTTACCATTTCTAGCTACTGCAGCAAGCAGAATAGTTCACATTTAAAATAGTAAATCAACTCAGTTTCTGGGTTTTAACTAACGTTTTCTGTGGCAATATTATTACAGAGGAAGTCATTGAGAAAGTGGGATTCCCCTAACAGAAATATACTTAGAGGCAAATTAGAATGCCTCTATTTAGGATAATAACATACCTAATACTGGGAGTAACAATGTTATTCAGTATTTTTATAGTCAACAGTAATTAGTCCATACATGTTTTAAATGATAATCTCAGTTTGCTCTGCATAGGCTAGTCTCCTATCTTTGAATTATATATGGTCTTGATTATCTTATAAAGTAGCTATCTATCTGGGGAAATTAGAAATAAGTGTCCATAAAAGTCTGTCTCTTATTTTTATAAATGCTGATTATGTCTGTATCACATAAATGAATTCTTTGGGCCTAAATGATGTACTGTAGTCTAGGAAATAACAAAACACACACTTTATATATTTCACCAACCTAAATAGATGTATTCAAAACCAAATATAGGATTGCTAGTATATCAGTTGTTATTATATATGCATTTTTATTTAAAGGAACTTCTAATTTAATTGTTTTACTTTCTTTTTCAGATTTTTTTGTTGTGTCTGTGATTATTTTGTATGTTTTCATATTACTCATCATGTTGCATCCAGTTGCCTCTATTGACCAGGTTCTTCAGGTAAGGGTTCAGCACATCAATTACTATTGGTTGTCTGAGGGTGATGATATCTAGGAGAGCAGTAGTAAGACAGGAACAGAAAATGACGTGTTAGTATTATGTGGTTCTTACACAGCCAGATGGGACTTCTGGAGGTTTGCTTAGAGCTTAACGATCTCTCCCCTCCCTTGCTCTCATATTACTGGGGACAAAGATTCAACTGTCAAGGTCATTTCCCCCAGGATCTCTTCTTTCTGAATTTTCTAAGGTGCAGTTATATTAACCCAAAAATACCCTAAAAAGAATAAAGAACATAATTGAAACAGCAGCTTTTATTGAGTCTGTTATTTTATATTTCTTGTCTGTTTTCTTCAGTCTTTGCTCTGGTTCTATTTCCCTGTCTGGAAAAAAAAAAATGTTCCTTGATCTTTAAAAATAAAAAAAAAAAAAAAGCTTTGACCCTGTTATTTGATCTGTCCCTTCTCAACTTACTTGAATAGTCTGTACCTACTGCCTCTTCTTCTCTGGCCACTGAGTTCATATTTTCATTAAAAATCTTACGAATAATGATGAAATACTTGTTTTATATAAGAGAATATGCACGTGTATATAAGTTGTGCAGCACAATAATAATAAAATAACATCCATGAGTTTATCATCCAACCTAAAAAAGGTAACATGACACCAGTAAGGCACTATCACATACCTTTCTCCAAACGCCCTGAGGGAACCACTTTTCTAATTTTTTACCTCATTGTCTTGCTTTAATTATATACTTAACCAATGTTGTACGAAGCCATAGAGATAGTTCTGCTTGCTTTTGATTGTATGACAGTGGCACCTCGCTATTTGTATTTTTCTGTGACTTGCCTTTTCTCATTAGCATTATTTTTAAGATGCATCCATGTCAATAAATGTATTTCATTTTCACTACTGTGTAGTATTCTATTATAGATTATGGGAGTATACTTTTATTCATTTCTCCATCTCCATTGGGAAATAATTAGGTCGTTTGTCATCTTTTCCTGTGCTCAGGGGTTTTATACCAGGTACAAGCAGTTGTGTTACTGAACTTTGAAGAGGTTGACAGTTTATAGTCTTAACCACAGGGTATGAGTGTGTCTGTTGCCTCATGTGCTTTGATGAGGGAGTTAGATAAGCACTTTAAGCAAAAGAAGAAAACAAAATAAAACCCATTTATGTTTCTCTCCTGTCACATGGGTCTTCTGTTTCACAGCCAAATTATTTCTTGAAAGAGTGCAGCATAATTCGACTCCCCTCTCACACACTCATCAGATAGTCTGGCGTCTACCTACTGAAGTTGCCCTGGCCAAGGCCATTAACAACTTTCTTCTTAAGTCCAGTGGACTTGTCCTTTTAGTTTTTTTTTTTTCTTCCCCATCCTTAATTGACTCCTCAGCAGTATTTGACAAGTTAGCCAGGTGATCGATCATTCTGGAGATTCCCTCTACAATTTTGTGATGCTGTGCTCCTTTGTTTTTTTTTTCTTAACCTCTATGACTTATCGTTTTTAATCTCCAGACTCTCCTCCTGTTCCTTAGATGTTAGTGTTCCACACATTTCTATTCTTCTCTCCCGTGTTAACTCTGTACATGTGGAGGAGCTCATCTGTAGTGCTGGCTTCACCTGTCATATCTTTTATGTTGGCCTAGCTTTTACAACTGAGCTTCAGAACTGAGTATCCACTGGCATACTGAATATTACATGTATAGCTCACGGATCAGTTCTCTCATTCATCATCTTGACAACTAACCTTGCCATCATGTTCTCCCTCAACCCTGCTTTGTCTTTTGTTTTTTTTGTTACTAGTATTTATCTGAGTCAGAAGTGTGTATATGTGTCGTCGTCATCTTTTCATAGCCAGTCTGTTGCTAGATTCTCTGTTTTCTTACTCTGAATCTATCTTACCTTTACTCCATCTCATTTGCCACCTAAAAGGCGGCTGTTGTTTCCTCTACTCACAATACTTGTAACACCAAGTGTGTGTCCCAAACCAACTAGTCTTCCAACTGGGTATCTTACAATTCAGTTCTGATACCAACTACCTGGAATCAACACACACCCTACAGGTTAAAGACTGTCCCACAAGAGTGCTCTCCAACTTGAGATAACAGTTGTAAGTCCCAGGTCATCCCCTGTGCTTCTTATTGATTACATATAAATCAGGGTTCCCAGAACCTCCTCCTCAGGTTCAATAATTTGCTGTAAAACTGAGGTTAAGACCTATGTTTATTGGTTTATAATAAAGGTACAGATGAACAACTAGATGAGGAGGCAGATAGGCCAAGGTCTGGAAAGGTCTCGAGCATAAGACTTTCTGTCCTTGTGGAGTTGGGATGCATCAACCTCCCAAAACGTGGCTGTGTTGCCTGAACGAGAAGCTCTCTAAACCTGAAGTTTAGGGATTTTTTTTTTTTTTAATGGAGGCTACCTCATCTAGTCATGGTCAGTTATTAACTTAGTCTCCAGCCGTGGAGGATGGGGGAGTGGGCCTGAAAGCACCAAGCTTCTAATGATTGCTTAGTCTTTTTGATAACCAGCCCCCATCCTGGAGCTATCCAGGAGCCCACCATGAGTAGCCTCCTTAGAGTAAAAGACATGATCCCTAGGAAATTCCAGGGTGTTTAGGACCTCTAAGTAAGCCACTCTTATTGTCACCATCACTCAGGAAATTACAAGAGTTTTAAGTGCTATGTGTCAGAGACCAAATATATAACTATTATCTGGTGGCCCCCATCACTGGTTTCTACTTCGATCATCTCTTATCTTGATTGCTATAGCAGTCTCCACCCTTAAAATCTTTCTTGCTGGAATCATAGGTGCTTTTCTAAAACATAAGATCATATTAGTCCTCTACATCTAGCACAGTATTTTAAGTACTCAGTAAATATGTGTTGACTAAAAGGTGAATGCATGAATAGGATTTTTTCCCTTTTATTTTTTAGACCTTAGAAATTAATCATAGACATTAAAGTGAAAACTTAGACTGTATTTGTTAATTTGTATACTTTTATGAATTTGTCTTTATGACAGTATATAGAGTGTTGAGTGATACTTCATTATTTGATCAGTATCTGCCTCATTATAGACAGGATTTTGTTTTAAAAATAGGAACTTGTTAGAAATTCATTAACTAGTAGAAAGCATGGGCTTTTGAGTTTGAGTGAATAGGATTTGATTCTAAGCTCAGCCACTTTAACTGTACCGTATTCTTTTAACCTTGAGTTATACTTTTGAGTTTCATCCTCTGAAAAGTGGATATACCTTGTGGCATTGTTAAAGATTGAGGAGATAATGTATGTGAAGGTGCTTGGTATGTAATAGGAATTCAGTAAATTTCGAAATCATGATATAATGCTGTAACATAAACTGCATACTACAATTTTAACTTAAAAATTTTGTCTTACAGATAGTGTGTGTACCATATCAGTGGCGTATAACTATGCTCATGATTGTTCTTGTCAATGCCCTTGTATCTATCATGGTGGAGGTAAGCACTTCAGATAATCAGATGGCTACGTTGCTGCTTTGGGATTCTTGGTGATTTAATAGTCCTGGGAGAAGAGGACAGGTAACATGATGGAAGCCCACAAAGAGTTTCAGTCTCATTTTAGTTAAATTCATTTAGCTGTCTCTCCTGACCTTTTCTGTTAACTGATAATTGTCATATTAAGGGATATGATGTAGCTGTAATCATACAGATAGGAGGAGATAAGCAGAGAGATAGTGAACATTAGTGATCTACGGGAAGGGGAGAAGATTAGTGCTCATGCGAACCCTCAACTAGTGGGCCCATGATCATGAAATCACAATGGGGGTGTACCACTAGAGACCTGTAGTATACAGTAAAAACTCCCGTTTAAGGGAAAAAGGAGGGAGCGGGCTTTCTACATGAACTCTAGTAAATTTTAATAACAGTTTATTGAAAGTAAAAAATAATGACTGCTCTGAACTTACTGGCACTGATTACTGGAACCTCCTCCTTGGTATTTACTTTTGAGTTTCCTCTGGAGGTCTTAAGTCCTCTGTGATTGATTACATATTAAATAGTCATTCTCCTATTAGGATTGCCCTTAAGTTGACTTCTGTAAAGGGAGCCAGTAATAAGTAATGCTTATTAATAAAATTTTATCTGTTCTCTATTAAAATGTTATAATTCACTTCTTTTATATTCACTATTATAATTCACTATTATAATTCTATTATATTATAGAATTTAATATATTCTATTATAGAATATATATTCACTTCTATTATTCACTTCTATAGTAGCAATATATGAAATGGAAGAAGGAGATACAGTTGTCATTTTTAAGTGAAAGGTTCTCTTCATAGGGCAGGCTTTTGAATTAAAATTAAGTAATCTGTGGGGAAATGTGTATACTTCGGTGATAATAGTTCTCGACTTGGAAATTATGCTTAATTTGTTATCTTTCTAAAAGATGACTTGGTATTTAAATTTGGGCCATAATTGGCAGCGTAGCTATTATGCTACTGCTTTTTTAAGTTGTCCAGTGGAAAGTATTTGTGCTGTTTTATGGACACAAGAAAGCACATCTAAGATATTATATTTTAAAAGCTTTCCCTTTTTTATAATATAAGTTCATCTATTCACACAAATATTATTTAAAATAAAATCTAGAGAGAAACAATTTTTAGGGAATCTGCTCATAATCTCTCATTCTTGTTTAGTATTGAAAGAATTTTTGTGTTGGACTTTGATGATGCTCATGAGCTCATCTATAGACATAGACTTAATATTATGTTAATTGAACAAAAATAATTCATTGTTAAAAAAAACTCAGATTATAAGCATTATTTTAAAATGGGAAAGACCCAAGGATGCGATTAAAACCACATTTTGTGGAAATTTTAGAGGTCCCATTTTTTCAAGAATTTTATGGTATTTGTTACCTATGTTGTTGCCTTGTTAAAAAAAATACCAAAAAACCAAAAATGTTCTCGTTATGCTTTATCCTTTTCCAATATTAACTGAAATTGTCTATATGAAAACCAAGTCATGTTTTTCACTAATGATGCAGCTTTGTATGAGCATTTTAAAATGTACACATTAATAAAGAATGACTTAGTCATTTTTAATTCTTAACTCACTGGAATATCTCTCAGAACTTCTTCCTTGACATGGTCCTTTGGAAAGTTGTGTTCAATCGAGACAAACAAGGAGAATATCGCTTCACCACCACACAGCCACCACAGGTTGGAAATCAGCACTTACTCTCAATTCTTCACGTGTATTTAGGCTCTTTTAGTTGTGTGCTCTGCCGCCTTTCTGTAGGGTGGTGTCCTGTTGTGTGTTGCCTCAACCTTTTCTCCTGTGCCTGGCATTTCATTCCCCGTAAGGAGTCCTAGAAAATTCTTGGCAAACCTTTGTTACAGGTTTTTCAGGACTTCAGAACTTTCATAAGTCTCTTTTCCATTCCAATCCGTATCTTCTCTGTGTGTAAAGGTCTTCTCAGTAGTGAGAGGTTTCCCATTTCTCTCTGGTTTATATGTTTACGGTTTTCATGAGTCCCATTAGACCTAAATGAGATTCATGGAAACATAGTTATGAAATGGGAATTGTTCAGAGGCCAAAATGAATCAAAATTCAGAGGCCAAAATTTTGAGGAATTATTTCTGATCTCTTGTCAGCAATCACTGTACCTTGATTTGGGTGGCTTTTTGGCTTTTCCAAACATAGGTCTCTCTTCATAAAGATTTTCAGAGGCCATGCATATCTGTAAATAAATCACAGCGTGGGACTTTTGACTTTTTGGATCCCTTCGCAAGCCTGAGATTTGAAAGACATACAAGCTCCATGGGAAAAAGAGGAGAGAAATAGTTGAATAAAACCCATTTCCTGGTGTTTGGATGTTGAAGTATAGTTAGATACCGTAACATACAGTCGTATAGTATAAATTAATATTGTGTTACATGTGTAGAAGCATATGTATGCCCTATGTAAGGTAACATATCAGGTCAGTCTTTTTTTTTTTTTTTTTTTTACCTGATACTGTTGAATTAGCTCTGATCCAGCCCATTTGGATATAAAGAACTTGACAATACAGTGTCTCCCCACCTCCTTATCTGACCCATTGCCGTTTATGTATTGGCAAGGTGATGTGCTTTTACACATGTGAGTTCTAAATCTTCCCTTCATTTTGAGGCACAAGGAAAGCTTTCAGAGTTCAAGAGGATTCCCTGGCATTTCTGAGTTGGGCCACTCACTTATTTTTAGCCTTCTTTTACTTAAGTACCAACTTCCTGAGCTTTATTTTGGTATTTCAACGGGCTTGATGCCCAGTGTAGTATCACAGATTACTTTCCTTATAAGAGGTCCCGTGGAGTGCCATTTCCTTGTCTTCTGCTTTATGATGAAGAGTGAGAGTTTGATAATAATGGGCTGAGTCTGGCTTCAGCTTCAGTTCCTTTTTCTCAAAGCGGTGTAGTGATATGGCCACAACTATATTAGGGGCTCACGTCCTTTAGCTAAATCTCCTTTGTGTCCAAGTTTTTTTCCTTTTGGTTACCTCACTATGTTATTTCAAAGGGTATATTCTGGCTCCATATCATCAGTCCTCAATATGAAATGTTTGTATTGGCAAGTCCCAGGCCACGGAAAACATTTACATTGAGTTTCCAGCATCTCCAAAGAGTTCTCTGTTGATCTAAACAGGAAATGCGAGGGCACCTGACTGGCTCAATCTGTAGTGTTGTGACTCTTACCTTGGGATTATGAGGTTTGAGCCCAACATTGGGTGTAGAGATTTTTTTTTTTTAAGATTTTATTTATTTATTCATGAGAGACACCCAGAGAGAGAGAGAGAGAGGCAGAGACACAGGCAGAGGGAGAAGCAGGCTCCATGCAGGGAGCCCGACGTGGGACTCATCCCAGGACCCCGGGATCAGGCCCTGGGCTGAAGGCGGCGCTAAACCGCTGAGCCACCCGGGCTGCCCCTAGAGATTACTTTAGAAAAAAAATTCTTTAAGCAGGAAATGGCAGGTTCTGAGGAGGCATTATACCCTATTTATTCAAAAGTGGGTATCATAAGCCTCCTTTAAAATATTTGAATTGGAAATTTCTCCTCAGTTTTCAACCAAAATTGAATGGGAGAAGATTCTATCATTTGCTAAATCTGTTTTCTAGAAATTTGGTAGTATCTGTTCTTATTTTTAAGAGTTTGTGTCTTTCATGTGAAGTCCTACCTCTGAAGTGCTCACAGGAGAGAGTGAAGGTAGCGAGTGGTCTAGCATAGGCAGCTCCAGCGTTCCCTGTGTGTTTTGCCACTTTGTTCTGAGAATCCCAGAGTAGACGAGAATTTTAGTCTTCATTTTCTGTAGTCATGATTGAGAAAGCATTTTTTAAGTTACTGGCTTTAGAAAAGAGTTGTAAGGTTTTAGCACAGAATGCTTCCCACTTTCATCTTCTGACACTTCTGTGTGTAATGTGGTTTCACTGTTCATATTTGTGACCCTTCAAGAACTAGTCAGCTAGTCGTATTACCACAAGGCTGTGGTTCTCAATCAGAGACGTTCTATTTGCCCCTGCCTACCCTGACATTTGATGGTGTCTGGAGGCATACTTGGTTGTCACACTTGGAGAGGAGAGGGGTTGCTCCGGGCATGCAGTGGGTAGAGGTCAGGGGTTTTGCTCTGTAAACATCCTACAGTAGTACACGGGACAAACCCCTCACAACAAAGACTGATTTTTTTGGAGAGAAAGCGAGAGAGAGTACATGAGCGGGGCGGGGAGAGAGAGGAGAGAGAGAGAGAATCCCAGGCAGGCTCCACAGTGTAGAGCCTGACATGGGACTTGATTCCATGACAACTGAGATCATGACCCGAGCTGAAATCAAGAGTCGGATGCTTAACCAACTGGGCCACCCAGAAGCTCCACACAAAGAAATTTTAGTCCGAGATGTCACTAGTGCCAAAATTGAAGGTGAAAAAGAAAGTAGAGGCGAGAAGTCCCTTAAGGACTTCTGTGGCTACCGTAATTCTCTGCCACAAACTCTTGTTCCGCCTCTGACTGCTCTGTGCTCTTTTCTACCAAGGATCCCATGAGGTCTTTTCAGACTGCAATGCCCAACCATCTGTATTAATTCTGGGAGGAAGAGAAGACCTATTTCTTTCTTTTTCCTCCTTTACCATATAGACCCAAGGGCCATGGAATTGTGTTGAAAATTTCAAAGCCAGAGGCCCTGGACTAGGCCCCACATCTTAGACAGTTGGATTGGGAAGTCAGGAGCCTTATCTGAAAATCTCTGACGACTTTGTCTAAAATATCTGTTTATCGACAAAGGACACTGTACACCTTCAGCATCCTCCCAAATCTTAAGGTCTTATTTCTAACTTCACTGTGTACATAAAGAAGCAACATTGGGTTGACTTGCCAAGGTTGTGCATGTAATGAATAACAAAATTGGGAGTTGAAACCAGGGTTTCTCAGTTTCAAGAAGAGTTTCTTTTTTTATAAAGCGTTACCCCTATTTAGGAAGATCTGTGCTGCATAATCTGTTACTAAAAAGCATTTGTGTGTATCCTGTGTCTGGTAAACTAGGGCCAATTAGTAGTAGATGTGGACCTATGATCATGTCGTCGTGTAGGTTGATCCTGCCCGAGTATTTGTGCTGGATTATGTTTTCCTTTTGGGGGGAAAAGCAGATATTAGTGGTAATCTTCATGCCACTTAGAAGATTATTTGAGCTTATTTAGACAGAATGTTAATTCTGATTATCTTTATTTTATATTCAGGATTGGTATGGAAGAAGACGATTTTGAAAACCATAGTATCATTACAGCACTTCCCCCACAAGCATGGCTTTATATTTTACATGCTACCCGTGAAAGCATTTCCTAAAAGTAGACTGGCATTGGGATTCTAGAGTGAATAGCTTGGAATGGCCTAAGAAGCAGGAGAATTTTAGCTATAGATCTTTTTGAAGGTTCTTTGTGATCTCTCTTCTGGACTGTGGTAGCCACTTTCCTGTCTTTGAGGGACACAGTCATTTAACCATTGCTTTCGGCAGCAAAGGAGAAGATCCAGTTGCTATAGCTACTGTATTCTCCTGCTTCAGGGATTATGTTTGGATGTTGGGGGAGACCTGCGTGCTCACTCTAAGCCCTGTGGTGTTCCACCTCTTTGCCCTCCTCTTCTTGCCGTCATCATATCTCCTTTGGTTCATTTCTCTAGCATGCCTGTAGCACCTTTTCTTTTCTCTACCGGTGAATTGTATTGTATTTGAGGATGTATGTAGTATGGTTGTATTTTTAAACTAACAAACCTATATTGTGTATTTTTTTGTGTATGATATTTGGGGAAGGTGAGGTACAGGAACAGCATGTTTCTAATCATAGTAGAAGGAGATTCTCTAGTTTTCTTGTGACTTAATTTATTTTTTCTGAATTATAATTTTACTTGTTTTTGATAAGGAAGTGAGGATTTTTTTTTAAAAAACATGCATCTCAATGTAAAAAGATTTCTATTTCATTGTGATTCTGTTTGCAATGAAATTAGTTTCCAATTTATTGCTTGCCTCACTTTCTACAGGTAGGAAACTGGACTTATGGGGTGTATGTGTGTCTTAAATTTGAAGACACTGGGCTGTGACTTACCTTAACTCAGCCTGCTATGCATTGTCGCGTGCCCTTCCACCCAGCCAGTTCATCTGGACAGTCAAAACGTGTATGTTTTCGCTTTTTTTAAAGTCAGCATTCACCATTTGCCTTTTCCTGTGGTCCTTTAACAGTGCTACACGCTGTAAAATGAGAAGTGACAGTGTTCAGATTGATTTAGGAACAGGGATCCTTTTTCTCACTACACTGAAGAATTTAAGCACCTTGGGGAAAACATAGACCCAAGTAGTGAGTCTCATCTCAGGTTACATATGAAGGTGTATTGTGTATGTGCCTACACAACGTGTAATGTGGAAAGGAATTACAGTTGACCTTTGAACAGCACAGGTTTTAGAGGTGCTAACTGCCCCTCGCCCCGTGCAGCCCAAAATCCGTGTATAAATTTTGACTCCTCAAAAATTTAACCACTGGGGCAGCACCTGGGTGGCTCAGTTGGTTAAGCATCCGACTCTTGATTTCAGCTCAGGTCATGATCTCAGAGTTGTGAGATCAAGCCCTGTGTTGGGCTCCTTTGCTCTTTTGCGCTCTCTGCCTCCCTCCCTCCCTCTGTCTCCAGTAAATAAATCTTTAAAAACAAAACAAAACTACTGATAGCCTACAGTGGGCCTTACTGATCATATAAGCTGTCAGTTAACACATTATTTTGTATGTCATATGTATTATATACTGTATTCTTATAATAAAGTAAGCTAGAGCAAAGTGTTACTAAAAGAAATCATAAGGAAGAGAAAATACGTTTTTAGTACTGCACTGTATTTTACAAATCTGCGTAATTGGACTTGCACAGTTCAAACCCATATTGTTCAAGGGTTAGCTGTATTTGTTATTTGGATCACCTGAAGAATCCTATTATCTAGTCTCTTCTGAATCCTAATGCCAAGTATTTTCTTGTAGACTTCTTTTAAGATGATGATAGTTCTTTTTAGTTATGACAATAAAGAGGCTACTAGATAAAGATCTCCAGCCTCCCCCGCCCCCCAGTCCTCATACAGCTTATTTGTGACCACAATTTTTGCCTGTGAATTCTTGGTACCAGTGCATCTTTTTGTGTTTTGTTGATAAAAAACTAGAAGACCTTTGAAAGTCTTAAAGATTTTTTTTAAAATTTTATATTATTTTTGCTGTTCTCTGCTGGCCAATTTAGAAGCACATGTTTCAAAACATGTTATAGCAAATTTGCCTTCTTTGATGATGAAACGATTTTGGGTATCAATATTAAAGTGCTTTACTTACCTCAGTTATGTTACATTTCATTTTGTGAGATTACTTCAATTGAGATTAAACCTACTTGCAGCTTGAGGTACATGTTGATGGGACAACAAACACCATGGGGTTTAAATTTCGTTTGAAGAAGTGACAGCCAGAGTAATTAGAAGTTGACTGTTCTTCAGAGATGACTATAACTTATGTCTCAGTATAATCATTTTAGTTTTATTTTATTTCAGTTTTATCTCAAATTTCAATTAAATTCTGAGGACCTATATTGAATCTACATTTTTGTATAACTAGGGACTGCTTTCTTGTTCTTAAAAGATTGTTTATCTAAGATCACATTCATTAAAAACATTTGGATTGATCCAGAAGAATTTCAATGCCAGCAGAGCTTTTTATAATGAAATAATACTAAGAAATATCGTGCTTGATTTATACTTTTCTATGTACTTCTTTCCAATAGTGGAACACCGGGGAAAGCTATAATTATAAAACAAAGCTGTTTTTTTATAGTAATGAAAACATGTGAAAAAAAGTGATTGACAGTAAACACGATCCAGGTTCTAGTTTTGACCTCACGGTATTTTCATCGTGCTTTATTTTTTGAAAGATGACATGAATAGTAATAATAATAATATTTGTATACTACTTTCTTCCAAAAATGAGCGGCTAGCTGGCTGAATTGCTAGGAGCAATGGTATAATCTGGGATAGAATACGGGGGTTTTCATATTAAATATTAAAAATATTTTCTTTCATTTGGATTTTTTTCCATTTATTTGTTGTACTCAGAAGTCATTGCTCTTATTTTCCTGTGTTGATGTATTTTGCTTTTAAAAACTTAAGAACAAGCAGATCTTAATCTACTCGTATATTCTTTTTTTCCCTTATTTTCTTAGGAGTCAGTGGATCGGTGGGGAAAATGCTGCTTGTCCTGGGCTCTGGGCTGTAGAAAGAAGGTACCAAAGGCAAAGTATATGTATCTGGCTCAGGAGCTCTTGGTTGATCCAGAATGGCCACCAAAACCTCAGACAACAACAGAAGCTAAAGCTTTAGTTAAAGAGAACGGATCATGTCAAATCATCACCATAACATAGCAGTGCATCACTCTCAGTGGTATGCTAGTAGCAGGAGAATGCAATTTTAGGACATTCTGATCCTGTGTGTCGGAATGGCACCATTTCAATTTATGTCCCTTCTAATAGCTGATACTAGAGCCTTTTTTTTAAATAAACAGAACAGAACAATAAGATTGGCCTGTCAGTTAAATTAATAGTCTGTAAAGTCCTATATCTTCTTTCAGTAACTACATAATACATCTATTTCCAGAATTTTTTGTTAACCTCAGTGATACTCTTTATATAGGGTACAGAAGAAAGTTGGTATTTGATAGGCTTTTAGACATTAGCTTCTGAGACTTGGTTTATCTGTTTAAATTTATTATTTTCCTCACTCGCTTATTAGAAAAAGTCCTCGTTTATATACCAGCCCTAAATTTGCGATCGATCAATAAAATGGGTGTTAATTACCCTCCAGTGAAAATAGGTAGAAAGCCTGTTTTTATTTGGTTCCAAAATTTCTTGCAAAGACTTCCATATATACCTACACCTGTTCCCTTTGATAGCCTAGGAGTTAGTTTTATGGTGTTGCTTATAGAATAACTCAGGTAATTTCCATTTATGGTTTTATATTTTCTGTACAAACTGCCTGGGTTTTATTTTTCTAATCAGCAAGGTGCTTCACTGCCTTCTTCAGACGTCCCTCAAAGCTATTAAACAGATCTTGTGGTATGTCTCCTGTCAGTAGTATAATTTACTTCACTTAAATGTTGTAGGACCATTTTCACTGGGAAAGAAAGTTTTTTGTTGTTGTTGTTCTTCTGCAATAGATGTAGGTCTGTCTGATATCTCTTTTTTTTCTCTCAGGTTTTATATAATTTTAAATATTTTTATTTTCTATCTTTTTAATTACTTAAAGACATAGGATAATAGTGAATTGGGTTTTGTTTTTTGTTTTGTTTTAGTCTTTTGAGTTAGACTTTCACCTACTAAAATATTTAAGGGTTGATACATGTCTCTCCTATGAATAATGAGGCTTAAAAATGAGTGGTTTTGAGTGACTGCTTCTTCAAAACAGTATGAGCTCGCTGAGTTTGTTTTATGCCATTAGGTGGCGCCAGAGGTCAGAGCTTACCTGTTTAAGATGGGATGTTTACAAAGGAGCATTAATTTGGATGTAAAAATTTGTGGGAGGAAGAAAAAATGAAATAAAGTTAAAGAATAGACATTAATTGGGCCAAAAGAAATGTGAAAAGTATTTTTCACCTTTCTGTTTTTTCTGGTTATTTTTAAATTCGAAACAAAATTAAAGTAACCTTAAAAATGCCTTTCTGGTGCTCACTTCTGCAGCACATACACAAAATCTGAACAATACAGAGGAGATTAGCATATGGCCCCTGTGCAAGGATGACACGCAAATTCGTGACATGTTCCATATCTTTTCAGCTTGGGGCGTGATCCTGGGATCCGGGATCGAGTCCCGCATTGGCCTCCCTGTGAGGAGCCTGCTTCTCCCTCTGCCTGAGTCTCCTCTGCCTTTCTCTCTGTCTCTCATAAATAAATAAATCTTTTTTTTTTTTTTTTAATGCCTTTCTGGGTAAGATCCAGCAGTTTGGCAAAACCCACAGTTCTGATAAACACAGAAATTGCTATGCTATAAAACGGACACTAACTAAACTATGTGACATTATCCTGTGTTCTTCCCTAACTGGTAGCAGGCTTGTGCTGTCCACTTCCAGCTGATCACTGTTTTTCTGGTAGATATTTACCAGTTTATCAGATGTTAGCCAGAGCTCTAGAACCACATGGTTCTCATTTTTTATGCTGCAGAGACCTGAATGATGTTAGGTAACTATAGGAAAATGTAAGTTACACTCAGGATCACTGTTAACTGCTATTGCCACTGATGATTCTTACAAAAATATTAATCAAAGTTTTCCATCAGAAAGCATAATATGATATTAATACACATTAGATAAGAACAGTTGTTCATGAATGAACAATTTTGTGAAGCTATGCATCTTAGACCTCTTGAGCTGTGAATTAGCACTGTTTTCTATAGTTACTACTCTTGATCATTTTCTGATTTCCACATTCATTTTCAGTATGTATAAGCGTTATTCTTAAAGTGATTTCCCAGAATTGTAGATTTTATTCTTTGATTTAAATACTGAAGCATATAATTAATGACTAAATAGCAGCTTAGAAATCCAGTGACCGGATTGTATTTAACATCTTTAAGAGCATGATCATAAAGAGCTGTACTTTTTACACCTTTCTCTTTTTTTAACATTTAGATTTTATAAGTGTTTTATATCTCATTTGTCCATATTATTTTCAAAGAAGTGAGGTTTTTAGGTAGCTGGAAGAGCATTTGTAGGAATCAGATTTGAACATAGACAAGGTGGGTTGTTCAAGTTGCAATTGATGGTTTCCAGAATATTATTTGAAGAATGTCTGTGAATCTAGGTGTGGGTCCTACTCAGTGCCATAGATAGGAGGAGTTCTCTCTCTTTAGGTCACCGTTACATAATAATTTTGATTCTGAACTTCACGTTAAATTATTTGAGTGTATACAGACCTAAATTTAAAAATCTGTACATATCTTATTTTGATGTATTAAAGATTAATAAATATTGCCGATTTAAATTTTATTTATGCACATACTTAAAGGACAGAAATGTCCTGAAAAGTAATTGTTAAATAATGATATGTAACTTTTTAACTTTTTAAATAAATAACAAGATTTTTAATGTGTGTCTCCCTCAGGGTTGTTTAAAGTTTTTTTTTTTTCTCCCTCAGATATAAATAGTGGTAACTATATGTTTTGTATCTTCTAGCACCAACTGCTGTAAAGCAATGCTGCAAATAATGCTTGAATAAAAGTGGCTAAGCCAACAACAAAATAAATACTTTTTATATTAGTTTTATAATTCTTACATTCGAGAGCTTTCCAAATTGCACTTGCATTTAAACAGAACTGTTGCGGTCTTAACTGTATTTATTTTGTCTCCCATGTTTGTGAAGATACTGCACAGTTTCAGAGGCATGGTAAATATAAATAACATATCAGTGTTTATGTATTTTGTTCCCCAAATGGCTATAGATAATAATATCCAGAGAAGAGCAAAATCCAAGCTTTAGAAAACCTTCTAAATCGCATGCATGCAATTTTGAGATATCCGAAAATAGGTTTTTGTATATTTATGGTGGGAGGTGATGGGGAACTTTTGACAAAATGTGCGATGTTAATTTTTGTATAGTCTGTGGGCATTTACACATTTTTAATGTAATTAAATTTGGTAATTATGTGCACATTAAATTAATAAGATAGCTACTTCCTGTTATGATTTGTGAATTCCCTAAGACTTTGGATTTTTTTTAAGTAACTTTATATCAGAAATGATACTGCATCTTTATATTTTTTAAATCGTATTGCTGCTCAAGAATGGTACCCTGATGTCAAAAAGGCATACATTCATAATTGTACATTTAGCATTGTAAATTCATAATCTTTTTTGGATTGAAGCTATTCAAAATAAAAATTTAAATGAATGAAATAACATTTTATTTCTGTGTCCTTATACATTTGTTTGCCTTTTAGCCATACAAATACTGCCCTCTCTGGATTTATTTTCCTACTTCATATTTTCCCATTTCCTTTGTTTAACGTAGAATTTTTGAAGGGGATAAATACCGTTTTGCACATATATATCACATCATGTGTGTGACCATCCAGTGGAAACCCATTCGTTAGTCAGATACGATGTAAAACCAAACGTTATTTGTATGGAGGCTGGAGGGCAATCGTGAAATGTTGAGACAAGAGGCTTAGAATCTACTAACAGTTGGGAAGATCCAGCCACGTCAATGCCATGTAAAATTGTGTAAGTTTGAAGTCAAGTGGCAGCCATGGCTACAAAAAGAGCGTTCCCAAGGAGAGAGAAGCTGTGGAACTGTGCATTGTCCGAGAAACCTCAGAGAAGGCAGGACTTGTGTTGGCCTTTGTACTAGGGCGGGAGATGTTTCTGGGTATCCCGGGTTCTACAGGAGGTGGGCATCCTCTGCCGTGGCCTCCGCACTGCTGTGGTGCGATGGACTGGGTGGTGTGAAGGGTTAGAGTCCCGGGTTCCTTATGGCCACTGTGGTTTGTGGTCATGACCCCACAGCCCCCATCTTCCTTGGCTGTCCTTGTCAGGTGCTGTATTTTGAGTGTATATTGCAGGGAAGGATGAGGTTGGAGGAGTTTGGAGGAGAACGTCAGCTGTTCAGAGTTGGGGTTTTGACTGCTCCATAAGCGCACAGAGATCCCTCCAGTGCCCTGGCCCCCGAGTCTCCCCTCACTGAGGAGACCATGTCTCCTCCAGGCGGACAGCTATGCTTTGGAAAGGCCAAACCTTATAGGCTGGGGTGACTTTAATGCAGAAGTTGCCTCTTAGCAGAGCAGATTTCTAACCTGTTAACATGAATCCAAAATTCAAAGGATGTGAAAACATGGGAGCCATCAGCTTCATTGTACAAAATACTTCTCAACACCTCATCCAGGAGTACCTGGGTGGCCCTGTGGCTGGGGTCGTGGACCCCGGCCGAGTCCTGCATCTGGCTCCCCGCAGGGAGCCTGCCTCTCCTCTGCCTGGGTCTTCTCTGTGTTTCTCATGAATGGATAAAAAAAATCTTAAACATCCAGGTTTTCAGCAAATGGACTCAACAGTGTGCTACTGTCTGCAACTTCCATATCCTTGGCATTCAGAATATTCTCTTGCCAAAGAATAAAACTTGGAGGTCCTTCTGATCAGAGCGCTTGCTCGGGAAATAGGCCACAGCAGCTTACCCGAATTTGACACAAAGTCTTCTTCTGATTTAAGATCTACACAAGAATTCTATTATATATGTGTGCTATGTTGCCTTTGTTTTACATCATTCTGTGTATCTTAGACGTCGGCACTGAAGTCCACAAGGCATTGCATTGCGTGGATGTTTCATACTTTAGAAATTTCACTACTTTCCTATTGATGGTCATTTAGGGGTTTTTGTTTTTTTTCTACTACAAACAACCCTGTAGTGTTTTTGTGCACAATTATTTTTAAGTAGGCTCCACACCCAACATGGGGGCTTGAACCCTTGACCTTAGGAGCGAGAGTTGCATGCTCTACTGACTGAACTCTTGGGCGCTCCATTTTGTGCACAAATTTTTAAAAAATATTTTATTTATTCATGAGAGAGACAGAGAGAGGCAGAGACACAGGCAGAGGGAGAAGTAGGCTCACACAGGGAGCCCGACGTGGGATGGATCCTGGGTTTCCAGGATCAGGCCCTGGGCTGAAGGCGGCGCTAAACCGCTGGGCCACCCGGGCTGCCCCCTGTGCACAAATTTTAATGAGCCTAGATATAGAATGTATTTTTAGCAGTGTAACTGCATATTTTTAATTTTCCCCCAAAAGTTTGCTCCAATTTATATTCCCATCATTGTAGTATGAGAATGTTTCTTCACATTTCTTAAAATGCTGGATATTTTCAGGCTTTAAACATTAAAAAGTTATTTCAGTTTGGTGTTGGTGCAGGGATTATCAAATAGCCCAGGAACAGACTCCCAGATTCATGAGATGTTGGTTCATGACTATGCTGACAGTAAGCTCTGAAGGAAAAAGGGATTTAATTATACATCAATGGGGCTAGGACAGCTGGTTTTCTTAATGGAAAAAGATAAAATTGGACTCAACTCACATCATATACAAAAATCAGTTCTATATGGATTAAGGACCTAAAAACAAAGGACAAAACTTAAACTCCGGCATTATAGGAGATTTTTTTATTACTTGGGATGAGAGGAGGACTTTTGATACAAAAAACACGAATCATAAAAGATAGATAACTTTGCTTATATTAAGACTTATGTCTGTCAAAAGGCATCATGAAGATGAAAAGGCAAACCACAAACTAGTTTAAGATATTTGGCACCTATAACTGACTAAGGATTAGTATCCAGGATATATAAAGAATGCCTAGTTTAGTTTTTTAAAAGACATACACATTTCACATATAGAAAAATGGGCAAAAGAACCCAAAATTTCTCAGAAGATGAAGCACAAGTGAGGATTAAAACTATAAAAGATGCTCAAGTTCATTAAATGGGGGAAATGAAAAATTAAAACCACACTGAGACAATTGCTGCGTATGTATGGTAAAAATTAAAAAATCAGTTCCGAGGACGGGCAGGGCTGTGAGGCAGAGGACTGTCCTACACTCTAGGCAGCATCACGTATTGGCACAACTCCTTGGAAAACAGCAGGACGTTCCTAAGTTAAATTGGACATATGAACGCCCTTCAAACCTGTAGTGCCGTTTGGGACCCCTTCAAGGATGTTTTTAGTTTTATTATTCCTCAAAATGGGAGAGGAGAACTGGAATGGAGAATTGGGGCGGTGGGGGGGGGAAGGGAGAGGAAGAGTGACCCACCTAAGGGGTAAGGCTGCCACGGGATCCAACTGTTGCCAAGCTTCCCTAGCATCACGGAGTCCTAATGTGCCGCTTTATGGAGAAACTTACCTCCCTTCTGCTCTTTCCCGTCCGCCTTGACGCCAGCGTTTCAGTTGCATGTGGTCCCTTCGGTTAGAGCCAGAACTTGCCTCCTGGGAAGGGCCTTCCCCTGTTTCCGCCCCAGTCTTTATCCTCAGGATGCAAGGACGCTTCCCTCTTCCTTTGGAAAGCGCCGAGTCATGGGCAAAGCCCTGAGCCTTTCAGTGGTTTCAGGGCGCGGCGCCACGTCTGGTAAGGCCGAATACTTTAAAAAAATTACTGTGGGCAACAGAGGGCTCGGTTAGTCTTTACGTGCAGAAATCATAAAATTTAGTTCAAGAAATGATTTGCATACAATTACACTTGGGAAATATTGTTTTGGCAGATTAGTATTGCTGGGTATTTGTCACATGTGATTCAATGCGATGAGTTTGTATTTTTTGTGAAGCATCTTGGAAATGGGAGCTGCTTATTTACGGCACAGTCCGAAGTACTGTCCCCTTGCAGCTCTGTGACCGTGGGTGTTACCTGCTTCTGTGCCTCAGTGTCCTCTCCCTCAGCCCAGGATGAGAATCGTGTTATTATAGGGATGGAATGAACTCACGTAAAGAAAGTGCTGTGGGAGCCCGGGGCCTCGGCGGTTGGGCAGCTGCCTTGGGCTCGGGGGTGACCCCGGGGGTCCTGGGACCGAGTCCCACATCGGGCTCCCTGCGTGGAGCCTGCTTCCCCCTCTGCCTGGGTCTCGGCCTCTCTCTCTCTCTCTGCGTCTCTCATGAATAAATAAGTAATCTTTAAAAAAAAAAATGAAGAAGAAAGAAAACGCTGAGAACACTGAGTGGCATAAAGTGTAGGTTTGGGCCCATGTTTCCCGGGTGCCTGACCAAAGTTGTCCACTGTTCGAGGACTGGGGTGAAAGGAACCGGGCGGTGGTTGCCCTGGTTTGTGCAGACCGCTGGGCCCCTCAGGCCTGTTGCCCACGGTCCCCTGTGCGTTTGGGCAGGAGGACCAGGACCGCTTCACTGTGGGCCCTGCTCGGCGTCTGTGAGCTTTGACGGGACAATGACTCACTAGTTCTGTGTAAAGATTTTAAAGTATTGGCCTTTAACTGTAGCTTGAAAAAATTTTTCTTAAAGATTTTATTTATTTATTCCTGAGAGACACAGAGAGAGGCAGGGACCCAGGCCAAGGGAGCAGCAGGCTCCACGCAGGGACCCGGGGTCACGGCCTGGGCCCAGGACACACGCTTCACCACTGAGCCCCCACGTGCCCCGGGCTTGGAGACGCTTTAACTGCAGGACTTTACACAGGGCCGGGATCCGTGGGGGGCGGATCGTTGTCCCGGGAGCACCGGGTCTCAGCACGTGGGGCTGTAGTTGGGAAGGCGGCCGCGAGGCGCCCTGGGGTTCCGGGGACGGAGCCAGCTGTGGCCTGCAGGGGCGCGTCGGGGGCTCGGGGCGGCGTCGTGGGGGCCGCACCTCCCCACCGCCCGCACCGCCCCACCCCGCACCGCCCGCACCTCCCGCACCGCCCCCACCTCCCGCACCTCCCGCACCTCCCCCACCTCCCGCACCGCCCCCACCTCCCGCACCTCCCGCACCGCCCCCACCTCCCGCACCGCCCGCACCTCCCGCACCGCCCCCACCTCCCGCACCGCCCCCACCTCCCGCACCGCCCCCACCGCCCGCACCTCCCGCACCGCCCCCACCGCCCGCACCGCCCGCACCTCCCCCACCTCCCGCACCGCCCCCACCTCCGCACCTCCCGCACCGCCCGCACCGCCCGCACCCCCACCCGCACCGCCCCACCTCCCGCACCGCCCGCACCGCCCGCACCGCCCCCACCTCCCGCACCGCCCGCACCACCCGCACCGCAGCCTGGTGTCCGCCGACGGGCGCTGAACCCGGGGCTGCCGCTGCGGGCCGAGGGGCTCCGGGGCCGTGACCCCGCGGGAGCGCCCCCTCCCTGCGCTCCCCCGACCTGTGGAGCCGCACCCTGGGCCCTTGGGACCCGCCTGCCCCGCGGCCGCACGGCTCGCTTGGGGGGGGCTCGGACTC